GAATGGTAGGAGAAAATTGGTTGAACCAATCAATTTGTTACGCTTACAGGCTTTTGTTCGGAGTGCTATATATGGATAGGTCATGAGTGAGATAAACTGCAGAAAAAAGCTCAATATTTCCAGGATGACCTTGATCGTTATCATCACAGTAGGGTATGGTCTTAGGCTGGGGTAGAGAAACTGTAGGCGTAAAGTAAAAAGTTGAAAGAAATGATCATAGCTTGACGCGATTTGTTAGACTGAATAAACGTCACCAGGCTTAGAAACTATCTTCCGCGAATCTTAATTGATGGGTAATGTTATTTCTCCCTGAATTCCCGTAGCGAAATGGCGAGCAACAGTAGTTTCAGTGGCGAATACCGTACCCCTAGCTTACATGTATCGCTGAAAACACAATCCTTAGGCATACATTTGTTTAACAAAGTGAACACTTGATTCTTTTGCATCTCAACGCAGTCCTCAGTATGCGTAGCTGTGATTCTTCTATTTGCCTGCTATAATTTGTTGGTTATATTACTTCAGCCTAGCCAAAGTCTAAAATGATGTTTGCAAAGATGTATTGTTTCACTCCTTAGTGTAGTTGAATAAGAAACACGGCTCCGACACTATCTCTATCCATTTCGATACAGCCTCAAAGAACGCTTAGAAGCGCGTCGACCATGGTGAGAAGGTAGCCTGCGTGCTATTCTTTTCACTTTCTTTTGCAATACTATCTTTAAGTAATCGGAATGCAGCGAGGCTTTGCACTATATTGTGCCCAGGGATGCTCAAGCGGTCTGAGATACTTGAATAGGGAGGTCGCTCGAGCGCACCTAATCTGGAAAGTTCTGCTCACATCAGAACTTCTGGTCTTCTTTTCGTTTGTACGACTTCTTTTTGCGTGAATATTCACGATCCAACTCATCAATTTCGTAGAAATCGACTTCTCTGCAGTTTTCTGCAGGAATTTGTAGTTTCCGGGATAATAATTCATGATACTTTCAAACAATGAGGAATGTTGATCACACATCTTTGTCGGCGCGAATCGATCATAGATTGGGCATGGTACATTCGTTGGATCCCGGAACATTCGCCTTGGGCAAGCAAGCCTCTTATCCTAACAGTCTATTTGGTACCAGACTCGTCTCTGCGGGGTAAATCACTGCCTTGTTGATCGGTTGGCCACCGCAGGTCATGTAAATACCTCAAACGTATCCCATACACCACTACGATTCTGATGAAACTCGAATTTACCAAAACTCGGCTCGGCAATTCACAAGCACTCACCCAAGCTATTTGGAGACGTGCACGCAGTTTGTTTTCCCTCCTGTCTTGTGCATGATTGTAAAGCGAGCCTTTGTTGAACGGATTTTTGTTCATTAATCCCGTTATAGGTATTTCTTTTTGATTATTCTGGCTGGATTGTCACATTGCCCAAGAAAGAAGAGATTATCCTATTGTTAATATGCATTGTATGAAAAGCAAAGAGATAATGGGTTTGAGCTAAAATCGAATCACCTAAATCATCAGAAAAAATCGTTGAAGGATTAACATTTGGGAGTTTTCTAGTTTTGAGGGGAAACCCCGCAAAATGCACAAATCCCATCCTCCCTACTATCCTTTATTAGAGAGATGTTATCATTGTAGAGGGTGCTTATCTGTGGACCATCCATAAGTCAACCGCTGGCGGCATCCGTTAAGAACAAGTAAGAAGAAGATCAAGCACAGAACTGATCTCTGATGCGCCCCAAACTTTACGCCTGTTGTTATAGAGCCGTGAGACATGCCAAGGCCGTCATGGACTTACATATTGTAGAAGACTTGACCGTGGAGATTGGCGTTCTGGAGCGTTTAGCTCTCTTCGCGTTTTTAAGATGTTGCTCGAGGCAGGTCGTCGAACTCCTTTCTTAAATCATGCAAGTTCAAGTGACAAGGAACATCCCCTTTCTTAATACTCCTGAATCGCTTGTCTTGCTATCGTGGTGGCATCCTTCATAATCCTTTGATCCATGAACAGGAACTGTTTAAATGAGGTCCATAATAATTCCGCCATTTTTGGGTTGACTAGTCGCTCGTACAGTTTCACGCGAATTTAGGCTGGCTCTGTCGTAGTTGAACGCTCCAATTGTTCGAAAATGGTGAAATCAACCCTGCTATTCTAGGCATCTAGGTTACATCCATTGGTGTTCTCAGTGTTCAGTAAACTAACCTGATCTCATGCTCTCCGAGCGAGTCTTGTACGGTGCCTCATCTGAACCGTCAGCTCTTTCGACTATAATCTTCTCTGTTGCCTGCCTCATCTTATCCTCGGTTCAAAGTGCCATAGGACCTATCGTCGCTTTTGTTGAAAGGCTTTTTCACGGGAAAATCTTCGTTCGGGAATCCATTGTAGCTTGCCAGACTTGGCAAACTCCTAGGATTTTGGTAAGCAATCATTTCTTGAACTGTTTACTAGCGCCACTGAGACTTGGCAACCTTCTAGGTTTTTGGTGAGCAATCATTTCTTGAACTGTTTACTAGCGCCAGTGGGTGGTTTTATTTCGCTTCCGCTGCCTTGGATCCTCTGACTTCAACTCAAGTTGCCTACCACTACGCTTAAAGGCACGCTTCACGATAAAAAAAGGTTACTGTGTTCTTCCTTTAAGAATACTCAGCGCCCCCCATGGGTGGTAGAAGTGACCCTCTCGCTCCGAACCTCGGCGCTTAGGGCATAGTGGAAACTCCGTTGCTGCCGCAGTTCGCTTTCCCGCCCCCTCGATCGGTGTCACGTTAGACGAGTGTCGAGACAATACAGATTGCTAGCATTCGTTCTAGGATCCACACACAATCAGCTAATCGCCGAGTGATGAGGTGATGTTTTTCTCCCATTCTTTTTTCCTCTGTTTTTCTTTTTGCTGACGCGATCCTTTATTCAATCTCCTACTCCCAGAGGCTGAAAAAGATGAGCTACTTTTGCTGTTACTAGAGGTTTTTTGTTTATTTATGGTTATAAGTGTATGATTTTTTGATCACCATTGTCCGTTATTCNTGTCCGTTATTCGCACCAGGACCCACACGCGCGCAGTGAAACACACTGTTTAGCTCGTCCGGACGCCCCACTCTTCTTTATTTTTCTCGTTTCATTCTCGTCCAGCCCCCTTTTTAACGGTTTTCGAGGCCTTTTTCACTTTGGAAAAACCGATGCACGCAGTTTCTTCACCTCAGTCGCACTAGTTTCGATCTTGTCTTCCATTTTTCATCATAATCTGGATCACCCAAAATTATCGTGAACTCTGCCTTTACCTTGTGATTTCCTTAACTACTAAGCAACTTCCATCACAGGAACCTGCGCTTCGTTCTTGTCCTTGACCGACTTCTTAGACGTTTGATGGTCATCATCTGCTAGGTTAATCTTGTACATGTCTTTTATAGTTTTGAGAGCGGTCTTCTTATCAAAACCTTCCGTTTCTAACCCGCCACTACTGTAAGTTACCTTCTAACTCCTGTGGATCACTGGGTCACGGACTGTTTTCATCCTTTCTTCCCCCTGACTGACCTTTCCTTTCTGAATCCTCTTCGTTCCTACGTTAACTACCAACGTGGCCGAGCTGATCACCGGTTAAGGTGGTATGGTCCCCTTTCGGATCTGATTGGTGGCATTGTCAGTACTCGGATAAAATTTACTCTTTTCGTGTTCGGAGGAGCCGGCTTGCAGTGCGTACATGAATATTCCTGTTCACGACTATTATTAGTGTTACTGTTACTGTTTGGCCCTCCGTTGCGGTATAGCTTGGCACTCCGACTTCTGTAGCCTTTGTTCCTTTCGCGTGTAACTAAGGATTTTCTTTGCTTCATCAGATAAGCCATTTCTCAGAACTTCCCAGTAAGCAGTCCCTCGTTCAGAGTTCAAATTCGGACCAAGTTTTTGTTGGCAGTCCTCGGGCTGGGCTCTGCTCTCTTTATCCGAGTGACGCCCTAGCCTTATTAGTGAATTCTTTTCAAATCTGAGGCATATTTGTAGTGACTGTATTTCTCCATCAGCCGGCCCATTAACACATGCCTGGCGCTGTTAATACCATATTCGACTTTCCTGCAAACTCGGCATGATCAGATAGGTCGGAATGGTTCTTCTTCATGCCTTCCAAGTCATTCCAATCCTTCATTATGCCAACGTTTCGGCAGCTTCGCCTTAGTCCGAGTTCGAAGCATATGTGGCCCGCTCGCTCCAACAACTTAACTTGCTAGTCTAGTTGAAGCATCTTGGAGTTTTGGTGGAAGCGTTATAATGAGCAAACCACATATATTCAGACCATTTCAGGCGAAGGCCAAGCTGCCGAAACGTTGGTTTGATAAAAGGTTTTCGATCATGAAAGTCTTGAAGAAGGTTCATGCTGGCTGCTGACACCATTTTCGCAAATTTGAAGGGCGTGGTTTTTGCCTTTGTAGGCATTAAACGCCTGGCTTTACTGACTGCAGACATGAAGACCTTTTCGAACCCGTGCTATCCTTGCCTTGCCCATCTTCATGGTGTCATTCTAATCAAATGGCCTGAATGTATTAGATGAGACATTAACGCAAACGGGGATGGAAAGTCGTTAACAGATCTTGAAACTTATCTCACTTGCGCTATTTCAAATTACTCTTGAGCAAAGAATAAAGGTAGAAGTGTTCTACGTAGTAATTGGTAGCTAGGGAGGCAAGACTTTCACTTCTTGACTTACCAGGGTCATCATTCACTTACCTTAAGATTATCTCATTTTTTTCCATTTTCGCTAATAACATGTACTTCAGTTTTTTTTCAGTTCTACTCGGAATATTCATAGGGAGCATTCGATCAAGCGTTGCTGATTACCTCTGAAAAATTTACCTTGTAAACATTCTTTTTTCAGGACTGGTATTTGGCCTAATATGTCATCAGTTTAGGAGGATTCACCAGGACCGTCAGAGGAAGGGGAGCCATAACATCTGTGTGTAGACCTAGACATTTCGGAACAAAGGATGACTGCTTTGGGGCTGAAGACGAAGGTTTTGAAAGCAGCGGTGGTGGTTTTGCTGATCGAGGTTTATGTGGAAAAAATGTCGGAACTAGAAGAGGAGGAGGCAGTTCATGTTCTCCTAGAGGTTCTGGTTTCGGAAAAGGTGATGATGTGCTCGGAAGCGATGAAGACACGGAAAGGTCTGCAGGTTTCGGAGAAAGAGTTGGTCGCTCATTCCAATCCAGAAGTTCAGGCTTCGGAGGCGCTAGTGATGACTTAGACACTGGCAAAAGCGACTTTGAAAGAGCACGAGGCAGAGGAGGTTTCGTCAGAGGGAGAGGATTCGGAGTATTTGGCTCAAGAAATGCTGGGTTTGGATCAAGAGATGCTACCTTCGGTGGTGACGACAGCGGTTCAGAAAGAGGAGCGACAAACTCTTTCAGGGGGCGAGGCGGCCTCAGCAGTAAAGGAACCAACTCTGATTTCAATGGTTATGGTTTTGGAAGTGGGCTCGACGGTTTTTCTAAAAGAAATGGTGGTTTTGGCGGCCGTGATGCAAGCAACAGTAACAAGTCCGAATTTGGGAGTGATTCTGTTGGATTCGGTTTCGGAGCTACTTCTTCATTCGGCTCGGAGAGAAGTGGCTTTCGACAAGAATCGACGCGGTTGGAAGAAGGTCCGTTGTTGGGCTATCCTTCTTTTCTCGAGCCCTTTTCTTATCCTCAACGTCTTCAAGGTTCGCTGTCATGTTATAACTGTGGAGAGGCTGGACATCGGTCGCGTGACTGCACCAGCTCCGGTAAAACGCGAAGCAATCGAGGTATTTCCATGCAGTTCACCGCATTATAATTAAAATTAATTACCTATGTTTATTTTGGGTGAGATCCTCAAAGACACAGTTCTCGGTGATCTCAAGATTTCTTAATCATCCCATCTTGAGGAAATCTCAGAAAACATTTTTATCATGAACTGTGTCTTTGACGCTGCAGTTTCTGAGAAACTTTGCAGGTTACATTTTTTCTGCTCTAAGGTAGCTCTTTTGGTGGATCGCACTTCAGTGCCACTGGATTCAGCAGAGGATCTGCCGGCAGATTCGGTGACAACGAAGGCAATGATTTTGGTGGAGGCAGGGGTGAGGGTAGGTTCCTTGGTTTCACCTGTATATGTGGCGGAAATGAAGACAGGGGTAACAGTAAGGGGGGCGGTGGAAGGTGGCTTGAAAGGGGAGCGAATGGAGTAGTTATTATTTATGAATTTTCTTCGTATAGTAGATTTTTGTTGCATTTCACAGTACTCGTCTCGATACCCTTTTTTTTAATTCGTTGAGGAGAGAATCCTTTTCCGAGGATTTGAATTATCACGCTTGTCTTCCAGAACACCTATCGAAATGCTTTAAATGCAATAATGAAGGTCATCGATCTAGTGAATGTCCAATACAGAAAAGTGGGTCTCGCAAAAGTCTTACTCATGTCATCATTTGGTTCGGGGAAACTGTGTCTCCTAATGCATTTTTTCATGAATACGTCGGTTACATGGTAGTGCTAAAAATCTGTCTGGATTTTCCCTTGCTCAACTCACATTCAGGCAATACCTGCTACAACTGTGGTGCAGAGGACCACATTTCTCGTGAATGTACAAATCCTCCCAGAATGCGCAGGAGTGGGAATGACGAAGCGCCAAGAAAACTGCCTTCTACCTTCGTCCCAGAAGATGAAGATATTGAAGTGTTATTCAGAGATCGTATTGAACAGGGCGAAATGTTTACGAAGTTATTCGAAGCTGAAGTAACGCTCACAGAAGGAGGTCTACGCGGAAGATCCGAAAAGGGCAGGAAGATAACGTAAGTGCCGTCAAAGCTGTTGCGACGTTTGGAGGTGGTTTGCGCTGCATAGCTCAATCGCTGTATGAAGCTGACTAAATTGTAGATCCTTCGATGAGTTAGAGTTGACGGAGCAGTTGAGCGATAATGTAGCGAATGCTGGCTATAAGTATCCAACTCCTATTCAGCAATACGCCATTCCTGCTATTTTCAAGGGTAGGTGCCTCTGCTTCTTCAGGTTGTTAGCCCAAGTCTGCTTTGCTAAAGGAACGTTTTTTGATAGTAAACCTTTTCTTCACCTTGTTTCATATGTAGCACATGGCTGGAAGATTATGTGCTATGGACACTATATGGGCAATGAGTTCATTTCTTTCAGGGCGTGATATTATGGCTTGTGCACAGACTGGCTCTGGCAAAACTGCTGCATTTTTATTGCCAGTGATGACCGCACTCATGCGAACTGGAAATTTAAGTAACTCCGCTGAAAGCACATGCTGCCCCAGGTCTGCATGGCATTTATTCCACCGATTGTAGTTGTGCTATAGATGAGTATATAGGTGCCTGATCATCGCACCTACGCGTGAGCTCGCTGTGCAGATCTATAACGAAAGCAGAAAGTTTGCCTTCAAAACGGTTATACGCGTTGCCTGTTGTTATGGAGGAACCTCTGTCATGGCGCAGCGACAATCAATTCGTGTGAGTATTGCTGGCACTGTGCTCTGGTTGATTGCATTCTTCATATGAAGTATTATTAGTTCACCATCCATAAGATGTTCCGTGAACAATGTTCAGGGCGCTTCAATACTTGTTGCCACCGTCGGACGTCTAAAACAGTTTATTTCTGAAGGTTGTATCTCCCTTCGAGAGGTTTGTGGCGATGGTTATTCAGTTCGAATTGTGAATGCGTATAGGGCGATAGCTGCAGTTGTCAACATCATCCCGCAATATGTGCACCGCCATGGTTGGGGTTACAGTCCGACACAGTGATGAATAGAGGGTAAAAAAGATCTCGATGCGATTATCGTTGGTCATTCAACGCGGCGAGCTAATTTAACAGATAATAACTGCACTTAGTAACCATTGTAAAATATGCTGCCCTCTGACAACGTCATCCACCCATCCAGGCATCGAAACGTACAACCTAACCTGAAACCTACAGTACCTGAAATAACGGAACTTGCAGTTCTTACTTCTCCTCAGACGGTGGCGTCCCACCCACCTCTGAAGTCTTCAGGTGTTTGGTTTTGCTGTCAAGGTCATATTTGGCACCTCTTTTCCGATTTCACTTCCTTTTGTCTTGACTTCTGGTATTCGCTGACAGCGCATTTTTTCAAAGCCTTGTTTCTTGGATGTCCTCGTAGTCCATATTCAGATTAAATACCTTATTCTGGATGAGGCAGATCGCATGTTGGAGCTGGGGTTCGAGGATTCGATGAACTTCATTCTAAATCATCCGTCGCTTGCTGCAAAAGAAGAAAGGCAAACCTTCATGTTCAGGTCCGTTCCTGTGCATTTAATATGCATTAGTTCCATGTTTAGATATTTAAGCACCATTTTCTAATTTATTGCAGAGTAGTGGTTTCATGTGCCCTCTGTTTCCTGTTTTCTTCATTTAGTATTTCCTAGGGATTTTTTCGTTTTGGTGACTAGACCCTCTTTCAGTTTCATACCATGATCTAAAACTGAATATTTTCATGATTGACTACCATTTTTAGTGCGACCTTTCCGCCTGATGTGCAAGCGATAGCGGCACAGCAATTAAAAGCCGACTTTTTGATGATTACAGTTGGGAAAATCGGCGTTGCTAATAAGTGTATTACACAAGTAAGCATTATCGAAGAACTGCATACAGTTCCTGTCGCGTGTTCATGTATTTGTTTAGGAAATCATTGCTTGTTCCTCAGTTACCGACAAAAAGGAGAAGTTCTTCGAGCTCTTAAACATTGATCTCAAAAAATACGAAATACATAAAGGTGCGGTCTTTCGTACACATGCCATAAGTATTCTATAGGTTCAAATTCAAGATAAGAAATTCCTATGTTCATAGTGTTTCTTTTCTCTAGAAGCTGACGTATTCAAAGAGAAAACGATGGTGTTCGTCTCACGCAAGCTGTTTGCGGACTTTCTTGGAGTGCTGTTAAGCGAATGCGGTATTCCATCGACAACGATCCATGGAGATCGTATTCAGAATCAGCGTGCGAAGGCGATAAATGAATTCAAATATGGAAAAAAACCGGTAAGGATTCGTCGATCTGTAATATTACATAGTGGTATCGGTTTCCGAAAATGAAAAGAACAACGCAAAACTTCGACACGCTCTGGAAAACCTTTGTTAAGGTCCTGATTGCGACAGCAGTGGGTGAGAGAGGACTGGATATCAAAGGAGTAGATCATGTGATCAATTATGATTTACCTACCAATATACAAGATTACGTCCATCGCATCGGAAGGTACTCTGTGAATTATGATTCACTTGGTTCAATTCCATTTTCTCATTTCTCTCAGAACTGGGCGTGTTGGTAATCCCGGACGTGCCACATCGCTTTATCTTTCAGAAGAAAACAAGGGATTGGCCCAAAGCCTAGTAGAAATTTTGACGGAAGCCGGACAGGTTTGTGTTACATTGAGAACATAAAATTAGGAGAGTCCGTTAGATTCATTGATAATGGGAGCCTGCTAACCGAGATATCGAAGCCCTGAAAATTTAGTGGGAGGAAGAGGGAGGAGGAGGAGGTGGTCTAGTCTTTTTGTTTAGTCGGTTTCCTTTTCAACACAAGAGGATGTGCGGCTTCTGGTAGTTGAGTTTGAAGCGTGTGAAGATCTGCAAGGATCCTACAAAGCACATGAATGCTCGTAGGGAGTGCCAATCATATTGACTTAGGGAGGTTTCTTTGCACCTCCTCTCTCCGGGTTGACAACATTTTGATGGTTAGCTGACTGCTGACTTCTCTGAGGTTTGACTAGACTGAAATCTATTCTCTAGATAGAGAACTTTATCATAATTATGCATTTAGCAATCAAATTAGCAAGACAAAATATCACAATTAAAATCATGTAATTGCTTAGCATGCTGTGATTATCATTGAAAATGAAATTCAACGATTTAATCCTTTATTTTGGGAACAGTCAAACGTTTGCCGGATTGAAAAAACTCTTGCATAGAAATGGCAAAAGCGTTACGAATCATTTATGCGGTGTGAGATTGGCGATTGTACAACACCTACCCTGGTTGTTCAAAAAATCACAAAAAAAAAACGCGGATCCGCGTCTTCTTCGCCCTTTCTTCATAGTTAGGATAATTCATACTTTTTTCGTAAATAGTGTTATGTAGTTGAACTGAGCTCGTGGAGTTTTGTGTAGGGTGGATTGAAAATATGAAAAAAAGCTGGATTTTGAAGTGAGTTTTCACCACTTCATAGGGCTCGACGAGCTGGTTGAACCATGTATGTAACCTCATATAAGAATAAAGTGAGAACTAGCCTCTCGAATTGCTTTTGGATTTTTTGAACAATTATGGTAGGTATTGTAAGGGCTGTTTGCAAAAAATTCCGCCGTTTAATCTAGTCCTCATTCTTCGGCTTTATCATATACTAGTCGTCTTACGCCGAGCCTTTTTCCTTATGCTTTAACAAAATAGAAAATGTGTTTTTTGGAGCCTGGTAAAGTGGAAAACGTGCGTGGGATCTCTTCAAATCACGAAAAGAAGGTCGAACAGTAAGGAATACCAAGCAGTGACGAGGATGGGGTGACAACAAGATGCAGCTCTGATAAGCCTTCTCAGATGTGAGCTTTTCTGCGCTGCTTTCAGGGCTAAAATCTCCCAGCATTTTGCAGGCCTGTAGTGTTATGTAAATATTTTCGTGATCTAACATCATGATGTGTAGTAACATTCGCAATCTCTCGTAATAAACGTCTTAAGAGGATAGAGTTTTGTCGACAACAGCATGTCGTCTGATCGTTTTTTGGCGGTTTTAAAAATTTCCAACACGATACCACGGCTAGATTGTAGTTTAGATTTGTAACTGCACGAATCAGCAATTCGCACTTAGCTCGTAATCGCCACGGAATCGAGCTTTCTTTCGGTTTTGAAGATTCACCGCAATCCATAGCATCTACAAAGCTACCCTTGATATTCATATCTTAATTGCAATGACGTGCATCTCGTAAGCAGCCAGTAGAATGGATAGCTTTCTTAAAACTCATCATTTCATTTTCGGAGCATGCAGTGAGTGCCCTTAAGAAAAACCTGAGACTTCGCATGGAATGAAGATCACGTTGTCGAGTTTCTTCAATCTTTCCTAATTAAAGAATACAGTGCAGCGAAACACTGGCTTCATGTGATCTCTACCCTGAAACCCAGCGCATTAACTGGCTTTTGTGTTAGAGATACTACAGAGCTCCACAATATGTAGGAAAGGCAAAGGATCTTAGACCTGTTCGTTCACTCACTGCTGCTGAGGATACATATTATTGGGATTAATGTCAGTTCCAGGAAGTATGACAAAGAAAACTACAGTATTAGTAATTCAAGAAAAAATTGTAGCTCGGCCTTGCCGCTGTTTGCCTTAAGTTAAGGAAAACACAGCTTGATCTAAAAATCCCATAAAAGTATACAAATGAGCAACATTAATTGTCGATTTGTTGAATATGAATTAACTGGTTACCTTTTTTCGATGGCATATTTCAAGCGTCAAGGCATCTGGTATCATTAGTAGTTACGATGACATTTGTTTACAACTGTCTGTCTTTCATTACACTCGTTGGCGCGTCAAAGTAGTTTCGACAAAGTACTGGTTTCTCACAAAATCAACTGAAGTAAAGAGTAGGTGGTGTATAAAAAGTTTCCCTTTCCAGCTATTTAGCCTTGTATGAGAAAAGTTGTGGCTGGTGCGTGTGGAATATGTCGTGCTAACTCACGATTCATGATAGTTTGTTTTATAGCATGTACCGGAGTTCCTTGCTAAAGATGCGGACGAAGGAAGTGGGAGGTTCTTTGGACTCGGTTTCGGTAGAGTTGGTGAGGCGAATAATGTGGCAGAAGAAGAAGAAGATTGGGATTGATTACACACATTCATATTGTATTGTATTGCTTTCATTGTTTTTTGATTTAATGCACTTTATTAATCTTCCGGTGAATCTCTTGTTGCTTTAGTTTTTCCTTTTTCTTTGTGTTTCCATTTACTAATTCCATGCGCTGTGCTACAATCTACTCTGCCTAGGTAAATACTGTCTGGTATCTGGTAATGGAGGAGCCTCTATAAATAATTCAATAACCTCGTTAAGTTCCTTGCTGATTCTGGGATCTACAGGAGTGAATTTGGTTGGATAATCGCTGTGTATGCCAGAGGAAGAACTTCTAACAAAACTTGGAGGAAAAAGAAAATTTTCATGATTTGTAGCTCGCCTGACTTGGTCTTTTCAATGCATGTTACAGAGTCATCCACGAAATAATGTCTATCCATCAGTTATGAAGCAGTTCTCCAGTTAAAATCCTTGTTTCACAGCAGCAATTTTCGTAGCAGGCAGATGTCTTGGGCTAATCGTGTCGGTAATTTTTAGCAACTTTAGTGAGGACTGCAATTATGATTAGGAGTTGCTCGAGGAAAGAACTCACTGCTCAAATACACAATTCGTGATTAAATTGACTCTTGTAGTACTTTCGTATAAAGTAAGAAGTCATTTGTTTCACTAACCGACAAACCATCACTTCAATCAGGAATTGTACGGCATCCCGTTTCGATAGGATTGAATCCGATCATTTCATGAGCCTTTGACCAGTTGCCATGGGGACAGTGGCTCAGCTTTTCACGTGGTACCATTCGGAATGCAAAGTATTCACTCTGTGGAGAACCAGCAAGATTGTGTGCTCATTGTCGCAAAATCTGTGCATCAACCAGCAAACTCACGACGTGAAGTATCATAAACAGGACCCTGGCTGAAGGGGGGTTCAGCATGATCATTTATAGGCGCAATTTCAAACAATATTCTACTACATACATATAACGCGCTAATGTTGTTTGTTTGCAAGTGGTGAGGCATTAAAATTTGAAATGGCGACAGGATAGGAACAACTATAGTAGGTGGCAAGGCCGGACTCTGCCTACGGGGGGCGGGGTTTGCGCGAAATGTTTCAGCGGAAATTGATAACTATTGTCCCATGCACCTAAAGCGGTAGTATTACAGGCAGCAGGATAATAGCTCTGATAAAATGTGGAACAGGGGGTGTGGCGTGCGCGATAGAAATTTTGGGTCGCAAATTCATGATTCCTATTTACGTGGAGCTAGAGCGCTGAAATTTGGAAGGAGTGCAGGAGACAGGATGACACTTATGAGAGGTGGCAAGACTGTACCTTGTTCAATCGCGGCTTTCCACATCGAGAGGAGGAGCAGTGGAGCCTAGTTTTATCCAAGTATGAATACATTATACAACATCATGCCAATCCGTAAATTAAGCTAGTACAAACGTCCTGGGTACACAATATCCAATATGGTCTATGCGACACTAAAATGAGTGGGACTCAAACCAAAAATCGAGGAGCTCATTCAATCCAGAATTTTAGAGAAATGGGTGGAGACGAAAACTAAACCTGCAATGCTCACCTAAATTCGCTATATCTCCTTCGAGAACTTCTTGATGTCGATAATCATTGGTATAAGATCAAGAGAAAAGAGCGGTTGTTATAATCATGCCTTAAGCATAATCAATTATTGCGTGCCAGTTTCATCACTCTGATTATGTTGTATATCACTCAATCAGAGCTTTGTGTCAAGTTTCAATGTGCTCCTCCTACTTCGGTCATTATTTTGGGGAACTTTTTCATCTGAATTGTCATTTTCAAGATTGATGGAAATAGATTCATTTTTTCTATCAGTCTCAAAATTGTCATCATCTACTTGAGGTCATGTGCTGAACTGTTCCCTACAGGGGTGCGCGTCTTATTTTTTCGCACACATTAAGTTGTGTAGTTTCTCGGAAATATTGCTTCTGAATTGTTGCTCTCAAAATTAAAAGCTGCAGACCGTTTCGCATCATCATATCCGTGAGCTTCATCAAGCATTGAATGTGATTTTCTTTGCTTTGTTCGAACTTCGCTCGAAAATTGTAGAAGTAGAGAGGAGCGAGCGAAAACTGGGAAGACTTACGGTTGGTGGGAGAACCAAACTCCGCCGCAGGGGCGAGCCGTGAACTCAAATTGTCAATTTGAACTTGGAGCTTTCAAATTCGGTATGAGTTCGGGCGGGAGGATGATCGATGATAGACTGAAAGGCAGAACCCTTCTATCAGAAAGCGGGGCGTGAGAAAAAAATTAATAGTTGGGACGAAGAGCGTTCAAATTTGGTAGGAGTACACGCGGCAGGATGGGAACACTGTTGATAGTTGATAGGAGCTCACTTGATATCAGGAGGAGCGCTGGAGCTGAGTTTTATACGAGTGTAAATATGGGGCATAGAGCCAGTCCGCAATTCAAGCTGAAATCAGCATCGTCCTGAACGTTGTGAACACAAGTATCCAATGTGGACTACATATGCACTTGAATGGGCAGGCAGAGTGAATCTAAAATCGACGTCCTCATTCAAGAACATTCCAGAATCCTGCAAGTACGGGTAGGACTAGGAAAGGAAAAGGTGTTTTACTATGGTATGCTGAATTCTCGTTCCTCATGACAGTTGTGGGCGAGATTTTTATTGCTCACGTTAATTCGTTCTCTCCTCTCCTCCAAGAACTCCTAGATGTCAAATATCTTGTTACCACACGAGTTGCCCGGCTTACGGCCTTATCCCCTATTTGAAAATGATGTAGTTACGTATAGGGGGGAGGGGGAGGGAGGGGGGAGCCGCTTTTATTAAGTAGTGAAGGGGGGGGGGGGGCTGGGGGAGACGTCGCTTTTCTTAAGTAATGAGGACTCTAGTGCGAAGAAGGTCGGGTAGCCGACCCTGAAGCATGATGCGGTATGAGTTGATCCAACTGGCTCACCCAGGGGTGCTTCTTGGCTCCTGGAGCTCAGATCAAAAACTGTATGATCTCGACTAAGAGACGTTCCCAAGCACAAGTATGGGCTGAACTTAATATTTCTAGCGCTCAATGTTGAAAAAAAGCAAAAGTCTCTTAACTACATTATTGCGTGCACGATACCAGGACAGATCAGAGCCACTTTTGGAACACCCACTTAGAGGCACATCCACGATAATTTTGGGGTACCTTTTTAAGTTGAAAAATGGAAGCGCTGATGTAGAGCAATTCATCGGTGGCAAAGAGAGCGAGGAAAGTCTCTACATCGCCACAAACTAGACTTCCTCAATGTAGTGGAAATAAAGAGATCATCAATTGTACGAGATCATCATCAGGGGAACAGCATGTAAGCGGTGTTTGGACAAGATTTCACATGCTCCACCTGCGCAAAGAGTTAACTACATCAAGCCGAAACTGTCCACACCTGCCTTTCACTGTCG